AAATTGAGAGGAAATAATTGGAATTGCATAGCTGGAACAGGCGTGATATGATGTGGACGCCTACTTTCTTTAAGGAGGAAACCACGCAAGCTCTCTCTCCTCTTTTTTTTAGATAGATTCAAGACTTATTAATTCATATTAAAATGATCATTTTTTTTTTATTTTTCAAAAAATAAGGGGAAAATTTTACTTTCTCTCTCAATTATTAGGTAGGTGTCACTCCTATTTTGTGAATTGAAAAATACGTCATATCACTAATTTACGTCATTAATGCACCATTAATGATGTGACATTATGATCAACAAGGGTTGGTTTAGTTGGTAAGGCTTGTTCCCTTCGCTCATTTGGTTTAGGTTCGAGTCCCGCTGCCGGCAGTCCTTTGTTGATGAGCGATATTGCGTAACGCTTTCCGTGGCCCTGGAATGGGGTAGCCTCCCCTCCTCCTAAACTTTTTTTGAATCAAAAAAAAAAAATGATGTGACATTATGTAAACCCTATTACTGATGTGAAAATTTGACTTTTGTTTTTTTTTATTTTTTACACAGTCACATAATTAGTGATGTTTTGTGAGTTTCTAATTTAGTACTTTAAATCGAAACTATTGTGAATTATCAATTGGAATGATTACTTTAAATTTTAAATTTTATAAAATATCACAATCAGCGGCACACAAAAATATTTATATGCTTGATTTGTTTTAGTTGTTTGTATCCAATGGCAATAGTTTCTTACAACTAGTTGTACTTTATATATTAATAATTTAAGAAAGTAATTGTTCAAATTAAGAATAATGCTTGGGACCTCCTTTTGGGGGTCACCCCCTCACCCCCCTTTGCCACGTGGCAGGGGGTGATTGGTGGAGCAGGAAAAAAAAGAAAAAGAAAAAGAAAAGGTGACCAATGAGAGAGAGAGGGGGTCAAAGGGGGTGGGGAAAAAGAGGGGATGAATCATTACTTTAATAGTTCAAAGTTACTGTGACACAAGTGTAAAAAGATAAATGAAAAAGGTAAGAGAAATATGAATAAAATATATTTATATTTTATTTAATTTTGCACATTTTTTTTTTCTCTTTTCAAATTTCTTCCCAAATTCCTTAACAACAGTGTAAGTAAATTAATCAAGTAATATCGGTTTGAGAATGTAGGTGAAGTTTTATAACGTTGTTAGTTTTTTTTTTTTTTTAAATATGTTTTTTTACTTGTATATATAAACATTTTCAAAACATATTAAAAAATTGATTAGTTGTCAAAGGTATTGGTAGGAGGTGCTTGCTGATAGTGGAAGTGGTTGGAGATGCTTGTTTGTTGTTACTTAACAATTGAACTATGTTTTCTTTGTAAAATTTTGAAAATGTAAAAAAAATAAATAATAATCATAACTTTTTGAAACAAAAACAGATTAAATAGACGTCATTTGTTTCTTACTAATGTCACTATATAATATTATTAGTATTTATAATATTTATTTATTTATTTATTAAAACTTTTCTTAGTAAATTAGGTCATACATAGTTGGGTGGTCTTAGAATAATATTTTACAATATTTTATTATTTAGTAGTTATTTAGAATGTGTTATATAAATGTACTTTTTGAATTTTTGGTTAAAAAAGTAAAAAAAAAATAAGATGTAAGTTTGGGATATTTTTTTACTTTTTACGGAAAATTATATAATAAAATATTGTAGTAAAATCAAAATGACCATTTTATTATTTTAACTTTTGACTTTTTGAATAGTTGAATTCAATATTTTGCCCTAGTGCTTCCTCCCCAAGTTACTCTTGAATACTATAGATGTTTTGACTTTTTTAGTAATTTTTTTAATTTTTTTGACTTTTTTAATTTATCTCAAACAGACCTTATTAAATTATCTGTTAAAAATCTAACAAAAAGTACTAATTCACCTTTGATCAACAATTATCAAATAGGGTGTCACGTGAACTTATCCTTTCACCACCAAATAATTTTCCCAACATCTGCACTTTCAAATTCACACCAAAAAAAATAAAAAATAAAAAAATTCGGTTTAGTTGTTTCTTGCTGTCAATAGTCAATGTCAATCCATCATTTTTGGAATTGGGAGAGAAAGAAGAAGACAATCCAAACTTTGCTTGTGGATTTGAGAAAATGATTTGTAAATAAAAAATTTATATAGAAAATATATTTAGAATGATATATTAATATTATTTTTAAATTTATAAAGTACAAAAAATATATTTGGAAAGATGTATTAATATTGTATTATTTTTGAATTTGCAAATAAAAGATTTGTACATAAAATATATTCAAAATGATGTATCAATATTAATTTTAAATTTTATCAGAACAAAAGTAAGTGTTTAAATTGAAAATAAAAGAATCACAAAAAAAAAAACATTATCATTTATGATATTTTATTTATAAAAATAAATAAATAGAATTTAATAAAAGAGGGCTTTGAGAACTCCAATTTTTCTGTCACGTTTTAAAAAAAATATAATTAAAAAGCAGTTGCTTTGGTGGATTCAATTTTCTTATTTTTAACACCATTTAACTTTAAAATGAAAATTTCCCATGACTAGTTATACATACAAAATTAAATAATGTAAAATAGAATAAATGAATATGTACGCATATAAATACATTGTATATATGTAAAATTTGTGAGTTAAGTCAGACTTTTATCGTTATCTTCACATCGACTTTCATTATTCTTTTCTTTAAAAATTGTTTAAATTCAATCTTAACTCTTTTTACCCAATCCTATAAATTTACGAGTTGGAATCTTTTAAAGTGATTTTTATTAGAATTACAGTATTATTGTATTTTAAATTTTTATATAATTAAATTTTAATTATTTTAAAAAAATTAGTCTTTCATTTTTTTTAAATCCTTGTAAATTAGCTTTGCTTGGCTTGGCTTGGCTTGTAGCGCAGCCAGATGACATGTCAAGCAACCACAGCTAAGGCAAGAGGAGTCAGAATCCACCTGTCGTTAGTCACCACTAGTTGACACCTTTCCAACTTCCTCAAAAATTACAATATATTCTCACATTATCACCCATTATTTTATTGTAAGGCTTTGTTTGCCGTCTTCTAACGAAAGTCAAAAAAATCACTATTCTATTTAAAACTCTGTTTGAGGAGTTGGTTTAGAGGTTTTTTTGGTTAAAATAGTCACAAAAAACAAAATAGGTTATTTAGCTCAATAAAACAAAATATCACACCCAACCCATAATCATTACATTCTTTCTCTCACAAAAAAGTCAAAAAAACTAAAAAAGTCAAAAGTCTTTTCCAAATCAGGCTTTTTAACCCCAAGCTAAAAAATTCAAAAAGCCAAAAAGTCAAACCACTTCCCAAACAGAGCTTAAGTCACATAATTTTATTTAAGTCACATCACCTCTCTACCACATCAGTTCAAACTCAATCCATATCCAACTCATATTTCATAAAAAGTAAAAAAAATAAACATATTTAGAACATCCCAAACAACCCCTAAATTTACAAAAATAAAAAACTAAAACAAGAATACATATTTTTTTTCTGTCAATTTTACTCTCCTCTTAACAGGTAACTATGGATTACTCTCGAAGCAAATTAAAAGTGTAGTGAAATTTTTTTATAATTGAGACATAATATTTATTAAGTAAACATATTAAAAACAATCTTTATAACTTGTTTGTGTCAAAAATGTGTATTGAAGTTATTGAAATACGTATACGTGAAAAATATATTAAAATTATGAATATTTTTACATTTTGTACTTTTTTATAGGCAATTTTTATATTGTGTTTGGCTTATGAATTTGGATAGAAATTTAAAAAGAAAAAGAAGAAAGATAAGTAAAAATAAAGAAAAAAGATAAGTAAAATTTTAATAAAATGTAGTTACATTTTACTTCTTTACATATTTTTTTTTCAAAAAAAATTGATCAAAATTTATGAACCAAACGGTATAGACAATAATTATCAATAACTTCATTTTTTATTTTTTATTTTTTTTGATCAGACCAATAACTCAAATATGTAGAGACCTTGGTCTCACTATTTTTTCCATATGCTCGGAATTGTATTTTTTTTTTTTTTTCAACTCATTGACGAATTTTTCAAACTATCATTAAAAATTAAAAATTAAGAATGTTTTTTGTAATTATTTTTTAAACTATTACTAAAACTTATAATTAGTGGTATTTTTAGTGATAAAGTTTTTAATTTATTGCTAAAAATTAATAATTAATGACATTTTTTAATTGTCTTTGATAAAAATATCATTAATTATTATAAGACTTATTGGATAATAAATCTACTTATTAAGATTTACACATAAGTCCTATTGGACCTATAATATTTCATTATTTTATCAAAAAAATTCGCTTAATGTAATTTCTAATTTATTTGGTGATACTTTGATGATACTCTAAAATTATCTAAGTAATTTTTCCTTCAAATGCTTGGTTCTCAATTTTTTAAAAACAATTTCCAGAAAATTCTATACTCTTATTTTTTGTGTTTTTTTATTTTTACTGAATTTTTTTAATATTTTATGCAAATTTTTTACTTTTTAGACACACCTAACATAAATACATCTAAAAAATAAAAAAATTGTAAAAAAAATCTTTTAAAAATTCACTAAATACCAAAAATACAAAAAAAAAATACAAGAATTTAATACATTTTTTATATTTTTATGTATTTCTTAATTTTTTTAAATATTTTTTCACAATTTTTTTTACTTTTTAGGTACATCTAAGTAAGGTGTATCTAAAAAAGTAAAAAAAAAATGTTTAAAATTTTAAAAATATTCACTAAAAATAAAAAAAAACGCGAAAATCAAAAAATTCAAATTTTAAAAAATTTAATCCAGAAAACCCAAATCAAACACTGATATTGTCACGTCACCACCATTATTCCATTATTATTCAATTCACAATAATAAAAACAAAAATACCCATTTCTTTTGTAGTTTCCAATTTTACCCTCCTCATTCCCAATAATCCCCCACCCTTATAAACAAACAAGTTTCCTTGTACTCTTCTCTCTCTCTCTCTCTCCCCATATGCAGCAATGGAGAAAGGGCAAACCTCCTCAATCGCCGAAGAAAACCAACAATCCAACGAAACCACCACCACCCACCACCTGAACCCTCCACCAGGTCTAACCCAGGACGAGTTCAACGAGTTGAATCGGTTCATCACCGAGTTCCACACCTACCAAGTCAACTCAGTCCAATGCTCATCCCTACTCGCCCAACCCATCGACGCGCCAAGCGACGTCGTTTGGTCCATCGTTCGCCGCTTCGACAAGCCCCAAACGTACAAGCATTTCATCAAGAGTTGTACCGTCAAGGAAGATTTTAACATGACCCCGGGTTGCACGCGGGACGTCAACGTCATCTCCGGATTACCGGCTGCAACCAGTACCGAGAGGCTCGATGTGCTCGACGACGACCGGCACGTCACAGGGTTCAGTATTATCGGGGGTGAGCATAGGCTGAGGAATTATCGGTCGGTCACCACGGTGCATGAGTTGGAGCGTGACGGGAGGATCTGGACCGTTGCTGTTGAATCGTACGTCGTCGATGTGCCGGATGGGAATACCGAGGAAGACACGCGTCTGTTTGCCGATACGGTTGTGAGGTTGAACCTCCAGAAACTGGCGTCGGTCACCGAAGGGTTGGCACGCGATGGTGACGGCAAATCACAGGTGATGTGAATCATGTGAATAATAAACACACAATTTAAAGGAGGCCAAAAAAAAAAAATTTGAAATTTTACTTCTGTTCTTTTTTTTTAATTTTTGGGTTGTCATGATTTTTCTTTTTTTTTTTTTTTTTGGGTTGAAATCACCAAAGCATCCTTTGGTGAAGATGGAAATGACTAGAATGCCATCAGATTTCGAGATTGATATGCTTGGAACTCTTAAGAAGGAAAAGGGCATTTTGGTCAATGCAGTGTACAGAAATGTTTGAGATGAGGTTATTGGTGTATTTTTCATCTTGTGAAGAATGTTGCTTTTTCGAATTTTGTTTCTTTTTCTTTGAAAAAAAAAAAAACAGTTGTAGATAATTTTGTCAATCCATTTATTCTTTATTTTTTAATATGTATTATATTAGGAGTCTTTGGCGGGGATTATATAAATTATTTATAATTTATAAAATAGAAATAAAATTAGAAATAATTTAAATAAGTTAAAAAAAAATTAATTTTTCGGAAGTTGAGTGAAATGTACTTTTATCTTCTGCTTTCTACTCATTAATTTTTAGCTTAAAATAATCTTCACTAATTATCGGATTTGGGGTGACTGATGTGTGAGGGTGCACAGTAGCCACTATTGTGCAGCTAAATGGGTTTATTTCGGGGGCCTATTTCGATAATATGAACTATTCATATTTTAGAATACATTAAGTAAAATATATCTACAAAAAATCAAGTTAATTGAATATCGTTTACCTATTTATTCACTCACATTTGTATCTACACAAATAAATAACAATTGTAATTTAAAGTATTAAAATAAATAAAAATGTGAGTGGATGAAAGGGTAAACGATATCCGATTAACTTGATTTTTTGCAGATGTATTCTACTTGATGTATTTTAAAATGTGAACAGTTCGAATTATCGAAATGAGTCTCAAAATGGGCCCATTTGGCTGCACAGCAGCCATCCCAATTCTCTAATCACCCCATTGGCCAGTTTGGTGGAGCTTTTTTTAAGTTAAAAATTGTTAATCAAAAAATAAAAGTTAAAAACATCTCTACTTCACCTTTCAAGTAATCAGTTTTTTCAGATTATTTAAGTTATTTCTGCCTAATAAGTTATAAGCAGAAGTTGTACCAAACAATTTGGCACAAACTCCCAAATTAAATTAAGTTGTAATCATCCCAAAAACTGTAATAAACAGTCCCATTGTCTTATTAGTTATTTCGGTCTAAGCTATATACACTTGGTTATATATAGGCAAAGAAAAAAAGAAAGTGTTTGCGTGTGTTAGGTGCATACTATATGTACTTGCGTAAGTTTTTATAAATATACATAAATTATCTCGTAAAATTATGTAAGTTCTCATAAATATACAAAAATTGTGATTTTTATAAATTTTTATGAGTTAACATACATATATTTGTGAAAATTTACTTGATTTTGAATTTTTTTTATATATGTATTTGTAAAAATTTATGTAAATACATATGATATGCACTTACACACTTAAAAATTAAGGAGATTTATTTATAAGTCATTTTCAGACACTTATGATAGGCTAAATCCTGTGTAATTTCTTATAGAGTCTCAAGTCCTATTTAGATAGAAATGTATTCCACAAGATCCTACATAAACGTAACGTGACGTGACACTTGCATAAACGTAACGTAACGTGATATCTACATAATCGTAACGTAACGTAACGTAACGTGACACCTATATAAACGTAACGTATCGTGACACCTACATAAACGTAACGTAACATGTCATGTTACGTTTCGCAAACTTAATGAGTTTTTATTTTTTAAAATTGAATGTTAAAATGTTGCTGGTTTATGTTAATATCACGTTACGTTTCATATAAATATGATCTATGATAACATTCAATTTCCTCACGTTACCTTTATGTAGGTGTCACGTTACGTTACGTTTATGTATATATGATTTATGGTAACATTCACGTTACGTTTATGTAGGTGTCACGTTACGTTTATGTAAGTGTCACGTTACGTTACGTTTATATAGATATGATCTATGGTAACATTCAATTTTCTATATATGGTTTTACTATTATTTATGATATTAATAACTAATATTGAGGGTAAATGTGTCAACAAACTTCCTACAGGATTTATGAGAACATAAATTTTTTAGTAAGACCTTATGTAGTATAAGTCTCCCTAATAGAACTTATAAATAATTTTCTCTAAAAATTACCCAAAAATATATATATATATATATATATCTATATCTATATATATCATAAGGGCATTTAATGGAACCACAATTCACAGTACACTTCAAGTGTGTGTGGATTAAGAATTTATGGAGAATTTTATGAAAAGAGAGACCCCCATGGGATAGGATAGTCCCATATTTGTGGGACTAATAATCCGGAGCAAAATTTTTCAAACAAACAATGGACTACTAATTCGGTGGGACTAATAGTCCAATCGCATTCCCTAATCCTTTAAAACAAGCACACCCTAACACCATTTACTTACAATTCATAGAACCTTGTGGAACACTTTCCAATCTAAATAGGACTTAAAACTCTATAAAAAATTATACAGAATTTCACATTAAATAAGTCTCCCTAATAGAACTTATAAATAATTTTCTCTAAAAATTACCCAAATATATATATATATATATCATAAGGGCATTTAATGGAACCACAATTCACAGTACACTTCAAGTGTGTGTGGATTAAGAATTTATGGAGAATTTTATGAGAAGAAAGAATAAAATTTAAAATGATTTTAACTATTTTTTATTGTATTCTTTCTCTTCAATTTCCGCCCCCCAAATTCTGAATCTAAACATGACTTTCATATTGAATTTGACGCTTCTTGTATTCAATTAGAGACCACTTTTTTCCCCAAAAATTATGCTTCTAAACCTTCTGCTTTCATAAATTTAAGAATTAATTCACCACTAATCAAGGGAAAGGTTCACGACACCATAGAATAAAAAGATGGAATCCATTTTCTGTGAAAGTTATTCAATGGCATATCAAAATAGTGAAAGATTATTTATTAAAGAAACAAGTGGTACTCTTTGTTTTCGTGTTAAAAAAAATAAACACATTTCGTAGTAGTGATAACGGAGGTAGAGAGTAAAACTACAAGGAGAAGTTTTGAGGGGCTTGAATGGTTGCAGTGGCAAAGGTTTGCAAAAACTGGTTATTCAGTGGAGAGAGAAAAGATTAAAAATGGTGGGGGAGCGATATGGAGTAGAAGGGAGAGTGATGATAGTCTAAAGATAAATGGGAAGGGAAAGGGAAAGCGGTTGAAGGTGGCGGGAGGAGAGGGCTAGGAATGATGGGCGAGGGTGGGATTGAAGAAAAGAAAATGGAGAATAGAGAAAGCAAAAGTTGTGGGACAATTTGATCAATGAAGCCCTCTAAATGCATCCAAAAATTAGTTGGCTACCCTATTTTTTAAGACATTGCATTGCTAAATTTGAATTTTATTCTTCTTCCTTTAACACCCCAACTAATTAGGGATGGTAAATTGAAACTGACCTGACCCTCCGACCCCAAATGGAATGGTTTTTCCCCTAAAAAAACCTCCAACGAGCCGAGGATGGTATTCAAAAATAAATCGCCGATCATTTTCGGGCTGGGAATGGTGATACCTTGTCACGCCCCAAACTTGCCCCAAGTTTGGGCATGACCAATTTTGAACCGGACACTCAACCTGATATATGACCTATTTGTAAACGGACACTAAACCTGATATACATATCATATGGGGCCTGAACGGAAGCATTGTATATATAAAATAACATATAATAACATACAAAACATCCATTGAGCTATCACTACTATGCCAGGATCACGAACAAACATAAGGCAAATAAACGTATAGTGACATGCATCAGAGAATTTAGCTATGTACATATATATACAGACCCAGCCCTCAAGATTGGGCGTAACAAAACATTGAAAGGTAAAGGGGTTATACACACTTCAACCGTAAACAGACATACAGGGTACAAAACCAAAAGCTTAGCAAAACCCCATAAAATGAGCTGCCTTCAAAAGTGCCTGGACTTTCTGAGGTTGACAAAAGAGGAATGGATGCCATGGGTTAAGACTGACCTCCAAGTGGAGTGCCTACAGAAACAAACATAACACAAAGTGAGTCAAGCTCAGTGAATAGTAGTACGTAAACAATTTAATGAGTAACTTGAATTATAATGTACATACATAAGTGCAGAGCACACATAATTAACTTAATCTTGTAATTATTTCCAGAATGGCCTTAGGCTTAAACTTTAAACAGATTGGCATGAAGCCCTTAACAAAACGGCATGAAGCCCTTAAGCAGAGTGGTGTTAAGCACTTATTAGAATGGCATTAAGCCCTTATCAGAATGGCATATAGCCCTTGTTAGGATATATGAACTCAAGAGGTGTCTTGCATGGATTCTAGAGGTGACTCGCATGGCAGCACTTAGCTCCGTGCAGTACTTTGCTTCATACTAACAGATCATATAGAATGGCCATAGGCCCAAATGTCACAGATTAGCTATAGGCCTCACATATGTCATAGAACGGCCATAAGCCTCATAGCTTTCACAAAACGGCCATAGGCCTCAGTTCACATATGTATGGACTCAAGAGGTGGCTCGTACAGATTCTAGAGGTGACTCGCATTGCAGCACTTAGTTCCGTACAGTACTTTGTTCCATACCAGAAATCGTTAGGTCTTAAAGACTGGTCAATCAACATCATGTCATAGCATAACATAAACCGAACGGATAAACAACAATAAAGTCATACATGTTCTTAATTATGCTTGAATCATAAACAAAAATCATAATTCATGTTTGACTATACATGGTAATTCAATAGCGCTAATAAATCAATATAGAGCACACCTTTTAGTTTCATAAAGGGACCTCCAGTACCGGGGACTTATACATACTTGAACTACGGTATTATTACCCCCAGGCTAGGGCCTTGTGTTAAGGATGTCCTGAATACTTTGATATATAAGGACAGTCATTTACTGATTCGAAACATAACATATCAGAAAATAGAGCATTTCTTGTTATATCGTCATTACAGTACGCTTAACAGAGACAGAACCATACACTCTTTAACGTGGTTTACATAATGATGATAAACCTTTGCATTCATGTCGTAGATACTAAACAACTTCAGGCCCCTTAGTAGCAAAATAGTATGCTCCAAACAATATCATTGATATTCAATTCTTGACATCTAAAGCAACCCATGGTTCTATCCGATTTTCATTTTGTTAATCCATTCTAAACAAATGTCTATGTCATAAAACATGTGTCGAATCAA